ACAAATAATAATAAAAATGTGTGTGTGTATGTATGTATGTATATATATATATAAATTTTATTATAATAAAATATAATTATAATAACTAATAAAGCTGATGTGAAAAAAATAAATGTGTGTGTATATATATATTAAACTTGAAAATTAGAAATGTTGCCTTGGCAAATGCTGAAATAAGTTTAAGTATACTAAAATTAAAAAATTTAATTTGAAATGAAAACTGAAAATATAAAATGAATAAAAATGAGATTGTGACAACTATAATGGCAACTAATATCAACTATAAATATATTATTTTTCATTCATTTCCTTAAAAGGGCTGATAAAAAAAATTGTTATGTTTAATTAAAAATACAATTCAAGTAAAATTCTAAATAAAAATATGATTAACCAATACTTGGAGGTGAAACATTTATTTATTTATTGAATTACTTCTTTCTTACTTATTTATGTGTCCATTTTATTTTATTTCGTTTCATTTAATTTGTTTCTTATCTTGAATATGCCCCAATATGTAGGCCGTAGATAGAAAGCTCATGAGATTTTGGAATGGAGTTATTATATAAATATGTTTATAGTGCAGAAATCGGCTACATCAGATGATCCCGTCTCGCTTCAGACCGTGCTAACACGTGTCTCTCTGTGTGTCTGTTTTTCTGCTGTAGGGTCTCAGAGGATCAGTGACAGCGAGTTCTCAGACTATGACTGTGAGGATGGTGTTGGCGTCCTATCAGGTAAGATGTTAGCAGGAACACGGTGAAAATGACACCCTCTGACAGAGGTGATGAAGACATTTACTGCTAAATTTGTTAAATATGAAGCCTTTCTTTGCATTTGAAGACAAACTTCTCACAGAACCATGTTAATTTCCAAATGATGATAATTGGACGCATGTGATATGGTCATGTGAAAAAACTTTTTTTTTTTACCGTACCATTTTACGCATTAGTGTATTAGTATGTTTTTAATAAAATAGCATACTGCTTACTCTATACCATTTAGTATAAAATGTATACTGCATGTACTGTATATGTATCATACTGCTGTTTGAAATTATTTGCATTGTATAATACATACTACATGACTTACTACTTGCTAAATATTGAGCAGTATTGGTGTTGTTATTGTTAAAAAAAATTATATTTTCCTATACAAACATATGCAGCCTTGATAAGTATAATAGTCTTATTTCAAAAGCATTTTTTGAATGTGTATCATTATGCTGCCTTAATACTATTTAATTATCCAATGTTTGGTTGGTACATTTTTAGTACACTTATTAGAGTATACACCTTTAGCAACATAAAACATCAAACTCTATTAGAATCAGTTGTAAATTCTTAATAAAAAGTAAATAATAAGCCATTGGAAAGACAGAAAATCCCTCCTCAAACTTCTCTTTGATACAATGTTCTATCTTCGGCCTGTTTTAATGTGCGATACAGTCAGTTGAACATCAAGCTTTTGTAATCATGCGAGGCACTGACCTTAGCGTGGCCGCACTGAATGCTGGGTAATGAAATGCCATCAGGATGAGTGGGTTGACGGCTCTTGCGTGAGGAAAAAGTCATTATTCTGGTTTGGGTGGTGAAAGCTGTTTTCTGATTGAATTGGTTCAAGTTAATAAGTTAATTCATGCCTGGAACATATTGGCTTTAAAAAATCACTTTTACAGCAATTTAAGAACCTGTTATTACGAAAAATACTCTGCAGCATACAACAGATCATGAAATACTGTTAAATAGATGGTCTAGTACGACTTTATTTATTAAAGCCTATTTAAATTGCTACCAGTAAACGGTTTAGCAGTTTTGCATTAGTTGCTCAAAATGAAGTACAGTACATGTAGTAAAAATCTTCGCTGCCACAGATGATTAGTGCACAGATGTTCATTAATTTTTTCTCTTTTCTTTGTTCCAGACTTTAGAAACGGCAGGGACCTCCAGAGCTCCACCCTCTCTGTGCCTGAACAGGTCTTATCGTCCAATCACTGCTCTCGGTCAGCCGACATCAACCGAGCGCGCTCACGGTCTCCCAGCATGCCCCCTACTCAGAGGTAAGACAGATCTCTCTTCTCCTGTCTTAACCTTTTCTCTTCATAGTCATTTGAACCACAGTTTAAGGGTGTTGGTTTATCACTAACATTTGATTCAAGAACTCCACAACACACAAGATCTAGTGTAACAACAGTGTGTGAGTGTCGCTGAATCAGCAACGATCATGCACCTCTCAAACTGTGTTTTTGAGTCACAAAGCCCTATCTAAATATTTAGTTTTTGCAAAAAAGTTAATTAGGTTTTTAAATTTTATTTATTTTTTTAGTAAGCCAGCAAGCATTGGCTTTATTGTTGATATTATTTTACATTTTGTAGCAGTTTTTCACCTTGAAATCTTATAATGTTAGACAAGTTTGTTTGTTTGTTTATTATTAGAGATCGACCGATATATCGATTTACCAATATTTTTCCAGATATTTAAGCATTTTACCATAATCGGATATCGGTTTTGTAATATCAGATTCACCGATAAACGCCACCATCTTGTGGGTGTTTTGAGAATTGCGTGCTGGATCGCCATTGCAGCGTGTCTGAGGGGAGAGGAGACTTGATTTGCTGTAGTTAGTAAACTTTATTTAACATAACAGCCATTTATGCACAAATTAGATGCATTACATAAATGCCTGATATGTAGTTTATGCAGCTTGGCTCACCAACTCACAGAGTCATCTAAAATAATCCGTCAAGTCCTGTCCCAATAAAGACGTAACTTTAAATAATATGCAGCCATGAATGAGCGCATGTTGGAAATAAAAGCGCTGAATTGAATTCTCTCTCTGTTGTATATTTGCTCATCATTAGTCTCGTGAAGCCGCTTTCATATTGCTGTTCACTCAACGGGTTGATGCTCAGAAAATGCTCCAGCAAGGCCACCGCATGTAACTTTTAACAAGATTCACTTGTTTAAAACACCCTAAATTGTATTAACATTTACTATATAATCATTATTTCGCTAATAAACATCTTAATGAATACAACTCTATGGAAATTAATTATTTATTATCTCCGCGAGTGATCGCAGTTTGAGTATAGTTTTTAGACATTCTACATTTATTTTGCTTATTGTTAACATTAGTGTTGTTGCTGTTGATGCTTTTTATAAATAAAATGTGTTTTTATTGTTGTAATATGAAGATGAAATTTAACATGAAAGACTGCTAATTTTAAACACTTAAAAAAAGATTATTAAAAAGAGGAAAAACCAAAGTGAAGTATGTTCTTACTTCACTCAGTCATTTATTGACTTTATAACAGTAAATAAATATCGGTTCTGCATATCGGTTATCGGGCACATAAACATGCAAATAATTAGTATTGGTATCGGTTATAAAAAAATCAATATCGGTCGATCACTATTTATTATTATATTATTATTATTATATCTAATATTATTTATTTATATTATTTTTATTTATTATTATTATTAATGATATAGTCATTTTATTTATTTATTTATTTATTGTGAAAAGTTATTTAGGCAAGCAACCGTTGGAATAAAATAGAACTAGGTTTTTGCTTTAAAGTGTTTATTTTGTAACCGTTTTTCATCCTGAAGTGCACTTATAATGGTATTTATTTACATTTTATAAATTTTTTCTATTGTTATTAGGATAGCATTTTTATTTATTTATTGTTTGTTGTTACTAATATAATTTATTTGTTTATATCATTTTTTATTTATTGTTGTTATTATTGATTATATTCAATTTATTCATTTATTGTGAAAAGTTATTTAGTGTTTCTTAATAAGCAAGCAAGCATTGGAATAAAAATAGAACTAGATTTTTGCTTTAAAGAGGCTATATTTTGCAGTTTTTCATCCTGAAGGGCACTTTATTTATTTGATTATTTCTACAGCATAGTTTAAATTAAGGGCAAGGAAATCCTGTTTTCTAGAGCCCCTTTAATGGCATTATCAGAACAGTGTTTTAAAATGATCTTTGTTGTTGATACAGTTAGACGTGCATGTGTTGGTGTCATTGAACAGTAATCACATTTCTTCCACATAAAGTTTGGGTTCATCCCATCATCATCAGTTTCAATGAAAACATGATCCTCTCTCTTCCCTCAAATCTTTTCATCTCTCTTCCGAAAATCCAAGTAAATTCTCTCCATCTGCCTGCAGTCATTTTCTCACCTTACCTCGAACCCGACACAGTCAGCCTCATGACAGTCAGCTGGAGGAACTCAGGTAGAGCCATTGCTGCCTGTGTCTGTCCCCATTAACCTCCCAGCTAAGAGCCGCCACTAACACATCGGCGTTTCTCAAAACCTCACATCCTCTGAACTTTAACGAATCCAGGTTTTCAGTATAACTTGTTCATATTCACATTTCTTCCACATAAAGTTTGGGTTCATCCCATCATCATCAGTTTCAATGAAAACATGATCCTCTCTCTTCCCTCAAATCTTTTCATCTCTCTTCCGAAAATCCAAGTAAATTCTCTCCATCTGCCTGCAGTCATTTTCTCACCTTACCTCAAACCCGACACAGTCAGCCTCATGACAGTCAGCTGGAGGAACTCAGGTAGAGCCATTGCTGCCTGTGTCTGTCCCCATTAACCTCCCAGCTAAGAGCCGCCACTAACACATCGGCGTTTCTCAAACCCTCACATCCTCTGAACTTTAACGAATCCAGGTTTTCAGTATAACTTGTTCATAATCGTGACGTGATAAGATGCCACCAGTTTGATACTATTTTGTAGTGTAGTTGAAAACCTGTATTCACAAGGGTCTCTGACATTGAGAATTTTCACAACCTCATGTATGACAGTGACTTCATCCTGTATGTCCTAGTATAACTGTATAATACAAGATTCTTAAAGGTGCACTTTTCCAAGTAATTTTTTGTAGTTTGTTATTTGACAGTGGTCTCAGACATGTTGTGGATACAGCAACATGCAAATATTCTTGGTTTGATGATACCACTACAAAATTTCAGACATATTTTTCACTCTTAATTGTTCATTTATTCCAAAACTTAATTTCTCCAAACTGTGTGCATCATGAAAAGCACTCTTCACAGGTGACTCAACCCATAATTGATTTCAATATTTTAAATTTAAATTTTTTTAATAAATTTTTTTCAGTATTGAATGAATTATATTTGTAATTGAAAATAAAATTACTATAGCTTAAAGCACAAAAATAAGCAAAATATTTATTTCAGAAATAATTTCCCCAAAGCTACAGAAGTATTTAAGTAATAAAAAAAGTGTAAAAAAATAAATGTTGTTATTATTATTTTCTAAATTAACATCCCATACGAATTCTCCCCTGCATGTTAATTGTTAAGGTTTTTATTTGGATTATTACTTTTCATTATTAAATCAATTTTAATTGTACATTTTTTAAAACTATTTTCTAGATGAATTTTATCATATTCAATGAACTGTAATGCAGAAAGTGTGAACTTTTTAATGTGTAAAAATGAAGTTGTGCACATGAAATCAACAGGTCACCAGTGGCTCATAAATGTCGACATGAGGTTGAATGAACCAAAAACTAGGAAAGAAAGATAAACAAAGAAAACTAGCTCAAATAGGAGCACATGCACTTCCTAATCCCTCTGTCCTAATGTACACCGTCCTTGCAAATGTATATATTTCCCCCCAAAACGTTGGAAAATATATACACCATTAAACCTAACATGCTTTTGTCTTTGTAAGAATGGTGAGCTACTGTATGCCTTTAATTCATTTCTAAAGCGTCATTGTCATTTTCTCATAAGATCATCATAAAGAATCTGAGTGCTCATTTTTACAGCTAGCTCAGGTTTTGTTTTAATAAACTATGAGAGATGATGTAAAACAGACATAAATACAGTACTTCACTACCTTGAGCTTATTAATGGGATCGTAGTTGCGCTTGAACTTGGTGTTTTGTGTGAAAAGTTGTCCAGCATTTTTTATTCACTAGTAATGTACATTAATCTGATGTTTTTATGTACATTTCTAAAACATTTTAACAAAGATATGTTGTGTTATTAAAGGTATAGTTCACCCAAAAATGAAAATTTGCTGAAAATATACTCACCCTCAAGGCTATCCAAGATGTAGATGAGTTTGTTTCTTCATCGGAACAGATTTGGAGAAATTGACATTTTCGCTCATTTGCTCACCAATGGTTCCTCTGCAGTGAATGGGTGCCGTCAGTACAAACAGCTGATAAAAAAAAACATTCACTGGTGAGCAAGTGATCTAAAGAAGCAAGAAACAGACTCATCTACATCTTGGGTGGCCTGAGAGTGAATTTTCATTTTTGTGTGAATTATTCCTTTAAACCCTGATAAAGTTGAGGGCGTGTGTAATGCACACTCTGGGGGTTTATGTGAGGCAGTTCCAAATATCTGCATCTTTTTGGCAGTCGTGGCAATAGTGTGTGTTCCATCAATCAGCGGGTGGTGGTCAGGTTACCTCGTCCTGCTAGGATGGCCTGTCATAGAGGCGTACAGTGACATGGAGGGGTACCGGTGCTGCAGTCTATTTGGGTCAGCCATTTATGGCCTGTCTAAAATGTCGACAGCCTTTTTGTTTCAGGATGAAGACATTATATGGGGTGATATCCAACACCGAGAGCATCCCTGCTGCACTGTCATGAGCTGGGCCAATTTCACTACCGAACAATCCTACATCTATAGCAAAGTCTTCATCTTGGCTTATGCTTTTGCTTAACAAAACATTACAAAAGTTTGTAAGATAATAAGGACGTTTATGCCCAAATCAAGAAACATTTTGTCCCAAAACAAGCAAAACAGTGAAGTTATATTATGTTATATTTAAATATATGATACATTATATTATAATTAAAGTTTTCCCAGCTGAATTTGGCTGTATTTCTTTGAACTTTGGAGGTACGCAAATAGTTTAGCAGGGTTTAAATTGTTGTAATACTAATAATATGTTTTGAATTAAAATAAAAGAGCTTGTGCAGCTTGTCATGTCTTCAACCCATTCCCTGATCTTTCCTTTAGGGATCCTAAGGAGTTGTTTAAATTGTTAAAGCTGTCTGCCATTTAAAATTTTTCATTTGAGTAAATATAAATATTTTAAAAAAATATATATTCTTAAAAATCTTTCTTTTTTTAAACAGTAAACGGATATTTTATTCATTTTTTTATTTTTGTATTATTTATTTATTTTTGTATTATTTACCAGACCTTTTTTTTTTTTTACTACACACTGTCACTTTATTTATCTCAGTAGTTAATACATCAGTGTTCTGATGCTGGACAACTTCACTACACATGTCTCTGTGTGGTCTTGTGCATTACTGTAAATTATACTGTGCCAAATGTTTTTAACAGTGTTGGTTCCAGAAGTACTTTTCCCATTCATTTTCTCCATAGGGATGTTTTAAAAAAAATTCATCAATAATTGATAAGGAGGTCTGATATTTGAGATGCTTATTGAAATATGAAGTCTTGATTTCTGAGAAATTGAACACAGTTAGGTGAGTTTATGCAAATTCTCACTTCTTTTTGATCAATTTCTCACAAAACAAGAATTTGTAATTTTGCTTCTCAAGTAAATGTATTTTGATTTAAAAATCTTTAGACATTTACACTGGAAAACAAGAAAAAAATACAGAGGGTGAACATCACTTTTTTTTTTTTTTTTTTTAAATACTTAAAAAAGAAATGGGGTTTTTTTA